GAATATATAAATCAATGAAACACAGTCTCAAGTTAACTGCCTTGAGTGGATTAAAAACAACTTTAATATGAGGATTTATAAAGAATGCTTAACTTCCTTTGGCATCAGACTGCTTTTTATCAAGGTGGATGTGAGCATCCACTTGGAAGCCTTCTGTAGGGGTTGCTAGGCTCTGCTGTCCCTCCTGTCCAGCCCTTTCAATTTTAGGTCTTCTCCAGCTCTTCAAGAAGACAGCTGTTGTCTCGGTTCTATCCCACTTTTGTCCCCGTTGGCCTCCTGAGTGATCCTTTACATTGGTAAAACTACAATGCTTCGTCACATACAGCCTCTGTCTGGCACCTCCATGCAGACATGCTGTGTATTAGTCAAGACTCGACTTACATCGCAGGCTGCAGATACTAATTCTGATGAGAAGAGAAATGTATAGGTTTGTGTAACCGAGACCTTCAAAGGATGAACTAGCCTGAGATATGACTGGATACAGAGCAGAAGTAACGTATAAGAGCCGAGTGAAGTTTCAGTGTCTGGGTTCCTCCTTGCTTGGCCCTTTCTTGGGCTCCGGGAGAGGTCCCAGCAACGTGTTTACGTAGCCATAGGTTTTTCTAAAATTTGAAAATCTCACTTTGCCGGTTCAAGAGTAATGAGGGATTAGGGCCAGGCAGCTAAGCTATTGATTGGAAGAATAAGCAGAGAAGGGTTCTGGATAAGTTGCAGGAACGGACTGCATATGCATTTTCTGCTCCCTAGGTTGGAACACCACCCTTGTCTCCTCCCCTTTGTGTTAATTAAAGGCTCAGTTCAGGTGGCACTTGATTCAGGAACCTTCCCTGACATACTCCCAATCTCCCTCCTCTCTGGTGCCCTTTCAGTGATCCTACGAACCCCTGGGGCTTTATTCTAATATCATCCTCTCTGGTTTGTAATTGTCAGTGTTCAGCCATCTCTCCACGCCGGACTGGGAGCTCACTGAAATAGGGATTCTGACTTATTTTTCCGAATCTCTAGCACCACGTAGGGTATGCCACATAGTAGTCCTTCAACAAATGTGTCTTTTATAAACAAAGCCTCAAAGACTTTGGCTCTGGTGAGGCAGCTGAAGCTTTTAATGGCTTTGTTGATTTTCTTAGAGCTAACTTAAGAGTTTCGTAATGTTGAACTTCTGTTTATCCCCACCCTCTGAGGAAGAAAGCTTCATAGAATAACGCGAGAGCAGAAAGAACAGGGTCAAAGCCTGGTTATCTATGCATTTAGTGGTCATAGCTGGTAATTTCTTCTCTAACATCTTTCTTGGATACTTTGGGAATCAGTTGAAACTAAGAAGAAACAGGTTATTTATGTAAACCAAAAGCCTTATTTTGCATATCAGGTGTTCACACACACACACACACACACGCATATATATATATATATATATATACACATAAAAACAGTGCTAGATGGTATTTGTGTGTGTGTGTGTAATAGGTGTTAAAATTGCTTTGATAATGGAAAAGTTAACAGATGATTGAACAAAGACAAATAATTTTTACATTGTAATATGTAGGTGGATCTCAGTAATGGTCCCAAAAATCCGAAATATATAGGGGTAAATTTTGTTTGCTAGGAATTTAAGAAATCATATTTACTAAAATATCAATTAATGCATATGGATTTATAAAAGGGAAATCATCACTTTATCTGCTACTTTGGAATCTCATCTATATCTCTGATCAAAGCATAACTACTCTTCGAAAATGAGATATTCTCTTTGCACTTTCTAGATTGAGATCCTTCCCTGTAATATATATTTACATATATTTCGTGTACTCTCTGCTTTCCGTTAATTTCCCCCCAGATGTATTTTCACCTTGACACAACTGGGTCCACGTATTTGAAAACTGACCTCAACTTTCTCAAGTACCAGTTTCTTTAACATTATTTATTTAGTAATAAAAGTAGACAACAGAACATATAGGGAAGATCATGTGTAATACCAACATCTTAACACAACAGCTGGAATTATTTTTCAAATCTTCCCTTTTAATCTTTATATTTTATATAGGTGTAATCATAATTTATAAATTAAATTTGCAACTTGCTTTAAAAATCCCAACAAAACAGTCCTGCTTCTTTTGCAACTTATTGAAAGGGACCTAGTCTCTAGAAGAAAATACATGCACACGCTAAATATATATAGTTAATTTTTTTACACAGTATTTTTTGATGCTTGTGTGGAATTATAATAATTGATGGCATCATCAATGACTTTAGAATTGCAGACTGCATTTAGACTTCTATAATAACCCCACATTTATTATTTGTTTTATTTTAGGGAGTGAGTGTGCTAGTGGGTAGAGCAGAGCAAGAGGGAGAGAGAGAGAGAGAGAGAGAAAGGGAGAGAGAGAAAGAGAATCTCAAGCAGGCTCCATGCTCAGCACAGAACCTGATGGAGTGTTCCATCCCACAATGCTGGGATCATGACCTGAGCCAAAATCAGGAGTTGGACGCTCAACTGACTGAGCCACCCAGGCACCCCTAACCCTGAATTTAAACAAGGACATTTTTACTCTCCTGAAGGAAGAATGGATTTTGCAAAAAAAGGCAAGGGCAAGAAAGAAGAAGGGGAAGTATAAGCCCTTTCCAGAAGCTATGAGGTTGAATGTGCCTAAATGACATTAGGTTACAGCATGTTTCCTATGACTGATCTCTCTGTGTTTAATGATTTGGTGTCAACTTAAAAGATACTTACTATTCAAGATTCACATAACTTGCTAGGTCATTCACAGCTCAATATTTATTTTCCCTCATCTTTTCATGGAAAAGAATGACCTCATCAGTAGGAAACTCCTGCTTCTCCTTTGGCTTCCAGAGAGGCTCAGCTTTAGAAACTTATTCATAAGATTGGCATATTTTATAAAGACGCTTCTGGAAGGTAGTACGGCCTTTCTTAATCCTACTCTTCACAAGTGTCCAAGATAGACCTTATTTTGGATTCGGCACACTTTACTGCCAGACTGACTGGGTGAACTCGTGAGAGGGGGGGCCCTCCCTCCCTTAACATTTTTGGTATAGTGAAGCATGGCCAGTGACAATGACTTCTTTTGTCATATGGTAGGTAGATATGCAGAGCTGTACTTTGAATTGTGCCAATAACCACGAGGATTTTTTTGCTTGATTTTTGAGCTAAGACTGTTCTTTTCTCCCCTGCCATTTAAAGGCCTCCTCTCCAAGCCCCCGCTACCAGTAAGAATGTGAGTAGAGAGAATGACAACTTAATATTAGAATAAACTCAGTGTGAAAGTAAGTTTCAAGCGACAGTATACATACATATAATTTTTTTTTTTGGACTTAATCACAACATGGTTCTTCTCAATGCTATGGATGAAGAGATTGCTTTTAGACCCGATTTAAACAATATTGCCCTTTTGGGTTTTAGCACCTCCTCGTTCATACTTGCCTTTTTTTTTTTTTTTTTTTTAAATGGGAGTGGACGTGGTAAGAGGTGTAAATACCGGAGAACGTATTGCTGAAATTGAACCGCGAGGAGGTTGATGTCATGTAGGGTCATACGGGCTGGGGGGTCACCGGTTCCTCTGAATGGAAGCCTAACAGAACGGGCAAGGTCGCCATTTTTAACACAGAGCATGGCACATGGACCGAGCTCAGTATTGATGATCGAGTCGAGGGTGCCCAGCAATGTGTACATGGGCTGCATGGACGAAGTTTGAGACCGGCCGTTGCGCCCTAGTTACCGGCGGTCTGTACCAGAAGACTCCCGCGAAGCAAGATTAAACGCCAGAGCCCGTTAAATCCCGTAAGCCTTAATTAACTAAAGCGAAACCTTCGCGACCTGGGCCCCCTCCGCTCCCCAAAGCCGGGTCGACGCCACCAACCGGCGATGGCAAAGAGTCTGGCAGCGGCGAAGTTGGCGGCGCGGCGCAGCGGCGACCCTCGGCCACCGCGCGCCCAGAGGACGGCGGACGGACGCTTCCGGGGGGCGTGCGGGCGGCGGGAGGCGGGCGGCGCTGGAGCCCGCAGCGGCGCGAGGCCGGAGCGCGGGCCGGGCGGGGCGGGGCCGGGAGCGTGCGCGCGCACCTCACACTCCGGCGCCCGGGGACGCCCACTCGCGAGTCGGGGCGGCAGGCCGGCCCGCGCCATCCGATCCCCCGCAGCCCGGGTCCCTCGCAGGCGTGTGCCCAACGGGTGTCGGCCCCCCTGCTGTCTGCGCTCTCCGGGCCTCAGAGGCAGGGGCCGAGGACCGGGCCGCAGCCCCGCACCGCGTGGACGCGCCGCCTCTCCCGCAGCCGCCGCCGCCAGGGCGAGCCGCTGCGAGCGACCGGAGGCGGCGCCGAGGAGGGCCCCGCGGCGGCCGGCGAGGACGGAGACGGGGCCGACCTCTGCCCGCCCGAGGCGCCGCTGCTCCCGCGCGCCCGGGGCCGCCGCCTCCCCAGCGCCGAGCGAGGAATGAGCAGGCGCCTGCCCCGGGCTCTCGGACCGAGGGGCCGAGGCTCGGCTTCTTCCCACGCCGCGGAGCCGCGGGGGTCCGGCCGCCGCGGCGGGGCGCCGCAGGGTCAGCGGCGACCTCGTCCGGGGAGCGGCCGCCGGGGTTAACTTCTGCAGCGGCGGCGGCGAGCGGGAGGAGGAGCCGGGCGGGGGCGGCCGCCGCGCCTCCCCTCCCCCCTCACACGCCGGGGCTTCTCAGTGGCCGCCCGAGGAGGAAGTTCCGCTCCCCGCCAGACCCGTGCGCTAGCAACAGCGGCGGCGGCTGCGAGGGCGCAGGCTTTTGGGGGCGCGGATGCCCTTCGTGCCGGCCGTCGAGGGGGCAGCGTCGGAGCTCTCCCCGGAGCCCGGAGCCTGGGGGCCGGCGTCGGGGGGCGCGGGCGTGCGAGCCCCCCTCCCCGCGGCTTCGCCTTCGCGGCGAGGCGGGAGACCTCCCTCCCGGTTGGCAGACTTCCGAGGAGCCCCTTATCTTCCCACCACCGGGGATAGCAATCAGGGGTGGTTAAGGGAACCTTCTGCAAGTCCTCGGATCGGGTCAGGCTCCCTCTCGGGGGCGGGAGATCACATTGGAGCATCTCGCCGGCGTGCAGGAATGGAAGACCCCACCTTGCCTCCTTTCTGCAGCGCTGCTCGCGTCGTCTACCGTTAGGAATGAAGAGGAGACTAGTGATGAGCCGAGGAGGTACTGAAAGCCTGATGGCAGAGAAAATATCGCAGGACACAAACTAGTGATCGTGTGGGGGCCACACACGTTTTTGATTGTAATTGGACGAGCGTGAAAGAGGTGCCCTATTAAAAAGCACAACAGCCCTTTAAGAGGAGCAAAATTGAGTTTCCCCATTTTTGCCAAGATTCTGAAGGCTGTTCAATGTATTGTACGTTTGGTATAAGATGAGAACTTTCTAAAATACTCGGCCCAAGAGCGTAAACGATGACTACCCCGGTCCTGCTGCCCTTATCTGGACGAAGGATACCACCTCTGAACCTGGGGCCGCCTTCCTTCCCACATCACAGGGCCACCTTGAGACTTTCTGAGAAGTTTATCCTCCTCCTCATTCTAAGTGCCTTCATCACCCTGTGTTTTGGGGCATTCTTCTTCCTTCCAGACTCTTCAAAACACAAACGCTTTGATCTGGGTTTGGAAGACGTGTTGATTCCTCACGTAGATGCCAGCAAAGGGGCTAAAAACCCTGGAGTCTTCCTGATCCACGGGCCCGATGAACACAGACACAGGTTTGTTTATTTCAGAACTTCGGATATTAACATGTGGCAGAGCACTGTATGGTTTATTGCATCAAATCTGTCTTTAAGAAAAAAAATTTTTTCTTTTTTGGCAGTGAAATGTAATTTTCCTTGAGTCCTTAGAGTTGTTATTTCAGAACTGATAGAATAGAACCCTAGACTGGAAGGGCTCCTAGAGCCTGGTCCAGCTCCTTTGTTTTATGTAGGAGAAACATTTGTGCTCCGAGATGTGGTGTCTCGTTTGAACGTTTGGGAATGGAGGTATGAAAATTTAAAGAAACGATGACATATGCTACGCCTTCATTTATTAAGAATGTGTTGCAGTCAGTCACAGTGCCACCCTGTGAAATAGACCCATTGAATCCTGACTGCGTCTGTGAGTTTGTTCTCTCCCAGAGGGCTCTTATTCTCTGGCTTGTCGTTAAAGCTTAGTAGTGAATTTTAGCTTTTCAGGAAGGCCAGCTGTGGGCAGAATATACCTGTGGTGTCTTAGCACAGAAGTAATCCTGATTTCTGTTATTTTCAGGGACCTGTTTTGGTGCTCCATATGGAATTAGATTAAAAATGTCGCAAATTACAGTCATTTGGTTTTGTGTTCTGTAACAAGATTTGGTTATGTGTCTTTATTTCTTGTGTGAGATAGAATGTGTCAAGGTGTTAACTGTTGCAGTTTGATTGGTTAAAGGGTTCACATTCTTTCAAGTCACCAAATATGAGAGGAGCTCGGGGGTGAGTGGAGCCATACTGAGATAAAATGGGAGCTCTAATGACTGTCTCTTTAAATCATTTTTGCGATTTGTGTCTAAGAGTTGGGGAAAGTAGTTTATTTTTCTCAAACCTCCATTTTTTAAAATTTGTTAAATTCTCTCTTTCCCCTGTTTCGTAAAATAATTTCTGAGTATGTGGAAAAAACCCATGTGTTTGGATTCTGTTTTCATCTGACATTAGTGTTAACTTTTTATGAAGCATGAGGTTTTTGGAAAACTGGAAATTCAGATGTGAGCCCAAGTTAAATACTTGGGATAATGCAGTGTTGTACTAACAGCTGGTTTTTCCTTTTTCTCAATCTTGTTAATTCATTATTTTCTTCCTGATTCTTTTAACTTTTGGCTGAACCTAATAGTTACTTCTAAAATTGTTTCATGCCGTTATTCTGTAACCAAATTTGGACTTTTTGCCATCATTTTCATCTTCTGTATTCTTCCATCAGTTTCTTTTATTTTGCCCTTTGCTCTTTGTGACTTGGAGAAAAATCTGATGTGATCTGCGAAGTATGTTGCTGAAAAATTAGCACTGAAAAGTGCTATTTTCCTGGAGAACCTCGTTTTCCATGATTTTTATAGCTCTGATAAATATTTAAAAATACAGGGTGTTAAGACTGGCTTCAGATTTTTTTGACAGCCATGCATAAACATTATTTAACTCTGTAATTATAGTAATCTGTCATGTACTGAGCAGTTTTCTTTATACTTTAAATGTGGTCTAAAGGTTAAAAAAATGTGCACTAAATAGCAACATTCTAGTTTAAAAGCATTCGCATAGAAGAAATCTCAGTTGAGTGGAGTTAATATTTAAGATTCGAATGAGAAATGAGAATAGATATGTCCATCTTTTTCATGCTTTAAAAAGCCTACTTAGGGGCGCCTTGGGTGGCCCAGTTGGTTAAACGTCCGATTTTGGCTTAGGTCGTGATCTCACAGTTCATGAGTTCGGGCCCCGCGTGGGGCTCTGTGCTGACAGCCTGTTTCAGATTCTGTGTCTCCCTCTCTCTCAACCCTCCCCTGCTCACACTGTCTCTCTCTCTCTCTCTCTCTCTCTCTCTCTCGGAAATAAATAGAACATTGAGAGAAATTTAAAAAAAAAGCCTACTTAAATCTCTGAAACAGAAATTCTTAAATTAAGAGGACCTGTGAATGCTTATGCTTGTGTATTCCTACGCAATGCATACACAGTGCTTATGCTGATATGCTAATATGTGTATTGCTATCCCTGATTCTTGAGTTCCTGAGTTTGGAAATGAGAGGGTTGGGTATTGAGTTCTCACAGGAAGAGATGGTGGGTGAGCCAGATCCTGAGTTTTGGATAGTAAGAGTCCAGGTAGCAAATGATACTTCTGAGAATTTACTGCAGTCTATTTAGTTCCTGAATTTAGGAAAGCAAGAATTCACATAATGAGGATTCAGGTGAAGTGGGATCCCTGTATTACCTCTGTGCATAATGTCTGTGCTTACATCAGTTTATTTTCATCTTTGCTTTGTATGTTATCGATTGTTGCTCACCATATCTGAAAGCACAGTCTGTACCGATTTCTAATTTGAGCAATGAAATCTATTTCAAAACAGATCATTCAAATGACAAGTTTAAAATGTGAGACATAAAACATCAAGCTAATGTGGAAACTTTATTTTATTTAAAAATCATCCGGAAAGATCATATTTTAACAGCATTATTGGTGCTAAGATCATACATATTTTGGTGGTTGGTCAAAAACGCGTCTCTCTTAATTTGAAGAATACAAATTGATAATTTATCTCAATTTTGTGTATGTGTAGAAGGGTGCAGGGTAGAGAGATGAGGAACCTTACTGTAATGGATAAGTAATGGAAAATAAATCATGTCCATTATTTCTTATTCACAGTATTTAAGGAGTACTTGTTGAATTGACTTTTCTTTATTAATGAGTTAGCTTAGTATTGTAGTTAGGTGCTTAAGTTCTGGAGTCTTGACGACTGCGTGGGTTCATACCCTAGTTTGTCACTGATCAGATGTATGATCTTAAGTAAATTTTCATACCTTGTGCTTAAGTTGCTTCTTCTGGATGGCGTTGGCATCTACTTTACAGAGTGTTATGAATGAGATACTATATGCAAAGTGCTCAAAATAGTTCTTAGTATTTAGTAAGTGCTCAAATACTAGGAATTATTATCAAAAATTGTAGTTTTAATTGAATTATTTTAATTTTGAGGCCACTTTAAATACTGTACATGTTTCTGAAACGTTAGATACAGAGTAATATTTTAGAAGCATACCAGAATCTTGTTGTCTAAAGGAACGTTTTGTAACCAAAGAAGTTAGTGACAAATGTGTATTACATGTCTGCTGTGTGTCAGGCCCTGCTTTTTTTTTTTTTTTTAAATAGTAAGTATATTATAAAATTCCAGAATTGTCTTTTGGACGCCAGAAGTTCATTCTCTTTGTTTTTTTTTTTTCTTTTTTAAAAAAATATAGTTATTGTCAAATTGGTTTCCATATAACACCCAGTGCTCATCCCAACAAGTGCCCTCCTCCATGTCCATCATCCACTTTCCTGCCTCCCCAACCCTCAGTTTGCTCTCAGTATTTAAGAGTCTCTTATGGTTTGCCTCCCTCCCTCTCTATTTTTTCCCTTTCCCTTTCCTCATGGTCTTCTGTTTAAGTTTCTCAAGATCCGCATATGAGTGAAAACATACGTTATCTGTCTTGCTCTGGCTCATACCGCTCAGCATAACACCCTCACATTCCGTCCATGTTGCTACAAATGGCCAGATTTCATTCTTTCTCATTGCCCTGTAGTATTCTATTGTGTATATAGACCACACCTTCTTGATCCATTCGTCCGTTGATGGACACTTAGGCTCTTTCCATGATTTGGCTATTTTTGAAAGTGCTGCTGTGAACATGGGGTCCATGTGCTCCTATGCATCAGCACTCCTGTATCCCTTGGGTAAATTCCTAGCAGTGTCGTAGGGTAGTTCTGTTGTTAATTTTTTGAGGAATCTCCACACTGTTTTCCAGAGGAGCTGCACCAGTTTACATTCCCACCAACAGTGCAAGAAAGTGTGTCAGGCCCTGCTTTTTTTTTTTTTTTTTAAACATTTTTATTTATTGTTGAGAAACCGAGAGAGACGGAGCATGAGCAGAGAGAGGGGGAGACACAGAATCTGAAGCAGGCTCCAGGCTCTGAGCTGTCAGCACAGAGCCTGACATGGGACTCAAATTCATGAACCATGAGATCATGACCTGATCTCGGACTCTCATGACCAATGTCAGACTCTCAACTGACTGAGCCACCCAGGTGCCCCTGTCAGGTCCTGCTTTAATGGGGCTTCCCATCTAGGGGTAGGATGGGCATTAGATAGATAAATTTAGTTTTGAAGTATGATGAGTGTTACGAAGTTGTCCTCAGTGCTGTCAGAGCACACGATGGTGTGATTTATCCTGTGGATTGGGTTCTTGGACAGGCAGTGGGAATAGGGAAGGCCTTGGGAGGAAGCAGTGTGTGGCTCCAAGACTTGGAACTAGTAGATTGCTAAGCAAACTAGAGACGTGGGGGGAAAGTGGTCAAAGCAGAGGACACAACGTGTGTGAGAACCCTAAGAAAAAAGCCTGGCATCAGTGAGGGTCTGAGAAACGTTCAGTGGGGCTGGTGTAGCGATGCAGTGCGGTGGCTGAAGAGGCTACATGAGAGGTCAGATTGGGCCTCCTCGTTGTTCAGAAAGCATGAGTTAGTTGCCAGCCTTCACATACCGGGAGATTTCACACGAAAGTCTAGGTTTTTGATTTCCCTTGAAAAGATAGGAGGAAAGGGCAACACCCAGGGCTGTATCTTCAGATAGCAGCCCTGAGCTGGACCTGGGCGGCAGCTACTCCCTGTGGAGGGCATGACTTCACCTCGTGCCACTCAGCTTGGCTGCTAGTTGAGTGAATCTAATGAATCTGTGTTTCACCTGGTTGTTGCTGAGTTCAGAATCCCTGGGCTGGCTCCCGGAGAGTCTGTAGTTAAGTATTCTGGTCTTTATCCTGAGCACCGTGGGAAGTCAGTGAAGGGTCTTCATCCAAGCAAGGCAATGCCATAATCACTTTTTAAAAATTTAAGTAATCACTGTGGCTGTGCCGTAAACACTGGATTCGAGAGGAGCAGGAGGAAATGTGAAGTTGGGAGAGTCTAGGTCACAGCGGAGATTGGCTTAGACCACACTGGTGATAATGGAGGAGAGCAATTAGTGGAGAAA